TGTAGGAGTTGAGCTGGAAAGTGGGAAACTAGGAAGGCATTTAGGGATAAGGGAGTGGTCCAGAAGAAGGGGGTGTCAGTGGGTATGTATAGGTAGGAAAAGGGTTTGGTGGGGGTGGCCAAAGACAAATTATAGATTCAAAGATGCAGTAAAAGAACACATCCAAGTCTCAGCAAGAGTAGTTGCAGGAGAACAAATATTAATTTCTAAACATCTTGAAACATTTAATGCTTTTTTATTAGAGAGGTAAAAATCCTATAAACTGTCTGCAATCTTGTCTTTCTCTTGCCATACATTCCCCTACTGTGCAATACATATATATTCAAAATTATGTGTGTATGTTGCCAGTGCTGGGACGTTCTACGAACTGCCATAACCGAAAAAAACATAAAGTGGTGGCTAAAATTCTGTATGAATGCCAGGAGAGTATCAAGTCCTTGTTTCCTGCCTTGGAGCCTGTGAAATTTAAGAGGGCATTTTCTCTTTTATTGAACAGTCGCTCAGCTTCTATAATTCTCAGCTGTTTATGTAACCGTAAAGTAAAGATTACCAAGGACAGTAAGTGCAGGGGACTAAGCACAGCTACTACTCCACTTTAAAAATTAAGCCATGGGAAGTATGCTAAAATAATGTCATAGAGCTCGTTTAAACACATAAAAAACAAGGAAATTCCAAGCCAAGGCTGGAAATCCAGACTGACAGTCTCTCTTAACCTCGAGTCTAGTAAAGAGGGTGAGCGAGGCCAGTATTGCCTCACTTTTCTGGGGTGCAAACCAGATTCATAATGCTACCTTAATGCAGCTTTTGTGATTTAATTTCCTTTCAAATCTTCTGCAGCCTAACTCTGTTTTGCTTTTAAAATAAATGTTTATGGTTATTCATTTTACTAAATGTTAACAATTTAAGTCCAGATCCCCTGTGCTCAAGTCAGGGAAGATGAGAGTAGCTCCAAGCTTTCCTTCCAATCCCCTAATCTTCAGCTTGAAAACTGCTTTCAGTACATTGCTTTTGCGTTGCTTAGCATTTGGTTTGGTACACTGCACTGCCGTTTCTGCCTTCTTGCCTCCAGCCATGCCCTCAGCCCTTGCATGAACGCTGCCGTGCATGGTGTAGAGCAAACGCTGCATGTAGTTCACCAGGGAACTCCCTGGAACCCGGGGAAGATGCTCCAACCTGCTCGGGCCTCCTACTCACCTTTTTTTATTGCTGAAGCAGTTAATAGAAGCAGGACCTGATCTACGCTTTCGTGAAATAACACTAACTTCTGACGGCTCTGAACTATAAGAGGCAATGGCAAATTTAAAGGGAAATGTTTTTTTGCCTATAGGCAAGGCTCTGTAAGATCTATGTGTAACATCAGAGCCATTGCTCCTTATAGTAAAGTTAGACAGGAGATGCTTTTTTCAATTTCAAGATCTTTTCTGAGAGTTCAAAACTATTCTTGACTCTCACTGGGACCAGCTAAGACTGTCAAAGCTTTTTGAGCAGAGGAACTCCATGCACTTACCAGAGGAGCCAATAACGTCCAGGGTGAGCAAGCACATGGCTTATAACAAAGTACATGATTCAGACTGGGGCACTGAACTGTGATTTTTCGTATCCAAGATGACTTCCCTGAACACCGACATATTTTACTGTGTTTTTGCAAATTCTTCCATGTCACATCTGGCCAACTCTGTATTAATAATTAAATATACACTGCTACAGTGACTGATGTATGGTTCCCTACCCTCTAAATGAATGCCCCAGCTACATGGCTATAGAATCAGTCTCCCTTGCTTTATTTGGCTTGGTGACTGTTTAATTATTTATACAAAACAAAATGTCTTTAGAAGCCTGTGAGTATTTAATATCTTTAAAGGACTTTAAAAGTCTTTAAGAGCTGCTGGTCAGCACCTTCCCTTGGGCCGGGCACGGTTCAAAGCTCTTTTCCCAGCAACATTTAACTTCTTATGAAAGGTGGAGCATCTCAAAAAAGTGACCGTGTGATCTCTGTAGGAACTCTGTGCTCATACTTAAATCCAAAAAACTTAATCGCTCTGTGCAATGTTGTCCTACTTTTACATCAGTTCAGGATGATATTTAAATTCTAGGAAAACTTTGCAAGCTCTTAATGTCTTCTCCTCTCCATTTCTGGTACCAAACAGCCGTGCTTTCTGCACCCTGTCAGCTTTGACCTTAGCCTTAGCATGGGAAAAGCAGTTTCAAGCTCCTGCTCTGAACGAAGTAAACATTAGCAAGGACTTGCAGCTGGATGTCTCACCATCAAGATATTAAACTGCAAGGGGATGAAGATTTCTTTTTGTGAGTTTGATCAGAACTACTGTTCTTATCCAGATTTCAGTATGTGTCCATTAAAATAGTGGATTTTTATCTGAGGCTAAGCACACTGTAGAAAGCAACTAGAAAAGCAAACCCACCACTACATAGCAATCCATGTCTTTACCAAAAAATATAAAAAGGTGTGCAAATTTAAGGTTCAGAACTAGTTTATACATATCTTTAAGAAAGTAGACTACACCTCATCCTTCAATAAGAGCTTATTTCATTAGAAGTATATCCACTTTAAATATGTACAAACACAAATCTTCTTTTATAATTATATTTAAAAGAGAAAAATGACAAAAAAAAAAAATCAAAGGAGTGGCATGCCTACAGAGTTTCAAACCCAAACAATTATCATTTTTGGATTTCCCTATTAGATGCTGATATTAGGAGTACTGCGTGGAAAGTCTGACAGGACCTCATCACTGGGAAATTAACAGTAAAATCTTAGAGCCTTTAATAGGAATGTCCTAGTGCAAATTTTAAGCCAACCTTTCCATATCAGGAATGTAAACTTATTAAGTTGCATTGCAGCAATAGATTTCAAAAAATTATTTAAGGATCATCCACTATGAAATTAGAGACAGTTATGAGAATAATGTCTAAAGGTCTCAGTTTGATTCTTACCTTTTTTAAAATTAACTTGAGACCTTCCATACTTTCTATAGTGTAAGAACTATACTTAGAGTTGAAAATCTTCTTCACTCTGTTGCTATGATAAATGCTGTCTTTCCACTTGCATGCTCATTTTGGATGACACTTTAATTCTAGAGAGCTTGAGGTTCGTCAGCTCTTTCCGTGCAACTGTCTTCTCCTCCCCATCCTGAGCAAAAACCAGTTGTGGTTTCTGCACCCTGTCAGATGTAACCTTAGTGCTAATTTGGGAAAAGCAGTTCTCACATTTAGTGCTGAAAGACTGATAACCGAATCCACAAAGGAATGACACATTTTCAGCGATGAAGTACAGGGGCTGTGGACAATGGCTGTGCTTTCCCACTGCATAAATCCTCCTGACTCAGCTGTCATTGTGCAAATCTACTGCACAAAAGCAGATTTTGCTTGCATGATTGGTCTTTATGTTATCATGACTATCAAAACAAAAGTGGGTGTTGTGTTATCTTTAACATATTATTATTCTACCAGGTACCAAGATAGACGGGTATGTCTGTAACCCTTGTACTTTACTGTCTCCTGAAGCCCAGAAATCTTGTCTATCATTATAATAAAATAAAGCAATGAACCATGTTTCAGGATTACTGGGCAAGCACAGACTGTAGAAATGAAATGTGATAGACCTGAATCTGTCCTCACACTAGTCCACATGAATTATGACAAAAATAAATTTAACAGGACAAAAATCAAAGTCATACAACTTGTCATATTATAATACAGATTCATACAAATCAACATATATACATTTATCTGATGCATATTTCCAATGCATATATCATATAGAGAGTTGTTTACCCAACCTGCAATAGCACTTTGTGGTTTTAATTATGAGTCGGGGATTCGTTTTGTTACAGCTTGCATATACAGCTAATATGATAACCAGTATGATACTAGAAGTTCCTGACTGCAGCTAGTAAGAAACAGTGTTGTTAAAACATAGTCTGCTCTTACACATTAAAAATTTGCGTGAACAGTTTGCACTAAATTACAAACCCACATAAGAAAACCTGGACTTCAGCACAGACATAAATAATGTGGCTAGGAGTGAAAATATCTAAGAACAAAATACTTTGTGAATTCAAAAACAGGAGTGCAGATGCAAGGAGAGTGTAGAGAAAAAGTGGCTAGTCAACGCTTCAAAAATTAAAATATAAATTAACTCAGAGTAACTACAGTTAGCATTACTGTCTCAAATCAAATGTCAGCTCTTTCAACTAATGAATTCTCATTTCCAAAATGCTCATATCCTTGTATATCTGAAGCCAAGTGCAATTCCATTTAAGTTATTGCAATTTTGACTTCAGTAGAACTTGCATAGAGTACTCAGATGCATTTTAAAGTATTTCGGTACATGAAGCCAACACCAGATTTTCTCTGAAACTATCCCTCTCTCCCCATACATGCAAACAACCAACTACAGGCCTGATTACTAATATCCATACAGTAATGTAAGCTATTGTGCCTTGTTAAACTATTGAATATTTTGAAACACAATAGTTTAGAATACCCAGTACCCTTTTCACTTTTCCCAAACTATTGACCACTCTGTCCTGCTCAGGAAGATCTGCTGATTCATTTTCTGCTGGACTTTGATGGCCTGTGTCAGATTCCCTTCAATCCAGCCAAAAATTAAAGCCTGTATAAGGCACAGTCCTGCCCAAGGCTCTGTAGCTACTTTGTGCTGACGTGTGGCTGATGCCTCCACAAGCCTTGAGCTCCACAAGTCCAGCTCGCACCCTACAGAAATTTGCTCCTGTGGCACAACTGCGTTAGCTGTAGTGTCTGTATATGTTTTAAATTTAATCACACTCCACAAATCTCAATTTAATTAAACCAAAATTGGTTCTTTATAAATCACTTTTGATTAGTTTAACTGGTTTAAGACAAAATTCTGCTCCAAATAAGAGAGGGGTGTATATGTCACAGATGTTGCTGGAACAAAGCTGTGTGCTAGTCTTTAATGGCTAGATGAACATAACGGGATAAATGTATATTTTACATACCATTTAGCCACCGGGAGTCATGCTGCTCTGTTCTGATTGGATGATGATGCCCCAGAGTTCGGAAAATGGCAAAGTCCCTGCCCATGAAGTCTGCTGCTGTGCCAGAGTACAGCTCTCCATCTGTGGGAGGACATAATTGTAAGCAACATTCCTCAATTTTCCAGTCATGGTAAGTCAGAGAAAGCTGTCGGTCCTATGTTTATATTACGCTAATAGGGATAATGAGAAAATTACAAAGCAATAAGCCATATGCAATGTATCATCATTGAAAATATATAATTAGACCCACTTTCTCACTGCAGAGCTTAACTGTAACCTCTCTAAAATGAACTGTATCTCCCGACTGCTAGTGCAGCCACTTTTCAAAAATATGTTTGGATTCTCAGGCTGGCACAGTGACAGCTTGTACACCTATCCCTGGCAGGCAGTAGTACGCAGCCCCCAGAAAACCTACTGGACTGTGGAGTTACCCTGTTTTGAACAGGAGTTTGCACTGGAGACCTCCGTAGGTTCCTCCCATCCCACTGCGGTTTTGTGACTGTGTTGGGAATTGGAGAGTCCACCTCATTCACGCTCAGTTCAGAAAGTCATCAAGTCCCTTGAATTTTTCATATAGAAACTGTCTTTTGGTTGATCTTCGGATTTGTTTTGCTTCTTTGTTTTTCCCTTCTTTTTTTTTTTTTTCTGAGCAAGAAAACCCTCTGAAACCAGTATCTTCTACAGGAAAGACAGAACATGCCTTTCTCTTCCTGCCACCTTTGTAACTGTGATACTGGCAAAGGGCAACAGCTACAGGAGAGAATAAATGAGATCATTCCCTGCTACCTTGACCTCGTGCATATCACAGTGAACAAGTGAATTAAAAATTGACCTGTGATGCTTCAGCCCATAAGTGGCACATACATAGCCTAGATGGAGAAGAAACTCATAATATTAGTCCCAGTGTGCCCCTCCTCAGCCAGCTAGAAGTATCATGGAGGAGACAGAGAGAGACACAGCCTAAATTCAAAGGACCAGGTCAAGTCAAATACCTGCCAACTGGTAAAGAGAATAATAACAAATAAGCACATAACAATCAGACCCACAGAAAACAACCAGGGATCAAAGAACAACATGTATCTTTCTGGCATTAATGTAGATCTTCTCCATGAAATTACACTGAATTCAAATTGCTAAGAATGCATTTTTTAGGAATTTACACCCGTATGTGAAATGGGATATCCTACCCTATACTTTAATATGGAACTAAAAAGTATCATTCCTTCCAACTGCTATTTTCAAGTTACCCATGTTAAATGGGTCTTCTGTGAAAAAGACAAGTTTGAGGATAAAATAACTCTTTCTGTAAGCTAAGGTAATAAATTTTTCATGGTCATGATGAACTCTACCATATCCTCATTTTAAAACATCCTTTAGGAACAAGTTCATCATTTTCATGGTAATTTTAGATATTTCCATGGTGGAACAACCATGTCCAAGCACGCCTACTGGATATCACTGGCAACTTTTCCCCAGAATACTGACACCATGAAATTATCAACTGAACCTACAGTGGCTCTGTACCATATGGTAGTCATGAAAGTCAGGATGGGTGAAAACATGATAGCAGAAAGGCGTGGAATTGAATGAATTCACAGCAGAGATTAGAAGCAAATTGACCAGTCGTGCCCAGCAGGAGGTGTAATCAGAAGTAAAACAGAACAGCATATTATTAATTAGCAATTTACCATTCCTCTGTGTCATTTTCATCTTTTTTTTAAAGGGGAGACAGTGACTTAATTATAGTGATTATTATGTACAGGTTATGCAGCTGAGATTTTAAAAAACATAAAACCTTTTTGCTTGTGAAAAGGGCTTTGATGGTGTGCTTAACCTTTCTTTAACCTTATCTTCATTTTCTTGTCTTTCAGTCCCTAGTGAGTTCTGATAAATCCATATAAATCAAAGGGAGAAAGAAAAAAACAACAAGCCCCATTTTGCTTCCTAGTTATCAACAAATCTAAAGGTCAAACAAGAAAAAATTCTATATTAATACTACATTATTAAAAATAAAACATATAGAGCTCAAAAACTCATTAAAATTATATATTTGCAATATTTAGAATTGTAAGGGGGTTTGCCACCTCAGCTTCTAACTCAATATATAAACACGACTGAAAGTAACATAGCTTCCAAGTTGGACTTAATTCAACCCAAGACTTTTTCATTCCTCTAGGCTCTTGTGGCTGGTACTTTTTTGTCAAGGGTGATAGTGTGAAAGTTTTGCCCACAATGGGCTTCAGCACGTTCCAAGGGATGGAGTCTGTAGGAAACGAGCTGACCTTTCTTTGCTTTCTACTACAGCCCCTCCAAGTTTCAGTATACCTAAACCAGTGTCTGCAGTTTGAACTGGTTTGCTGTAGTCATGCAAATTTGGGCTTCTCCCAGATAGAAATGCCAAGGAATACCATTTGTTTTTGTAAGGCTTATACGATAAGTTTTTCTAAATTCAGGGTGAGACTCAAGTCATGTCCCAGATGTGCAGATCCTTTGAGTTAGTACTATTCAAAAGCTACACGAAGATTTTGCCTCCTCTCTAGATAGGAGTACATTCATCTTCATTTCCCTATGCAGATCTTCTTTTGGACTGAAATTTACTCATTGCTGGTCTAGAAAATGATTCTTTTATGTCATGGATAATCTTCACTGTGCTATTTCCATTGTCAGTAGTTTTAAAAGCAGTTTTCATTAACTCTAAGAAGAAAGTGGAAATGAACAGTTTGAAAACTGACACATACCTCAAGGGGAAAAAAAGAAAGAAAGAAAAAAAAAAAAGTCACTTTTTATTTCCAGCCCAGCACTACAAAGCAATGACTGTCCAGAACAAGCTGATGGCCCTCATCTGTTTGCATAGGAAAAAGTCCAGGTTTGGACACAAACTGTTTCATTCTAAAGGAATAGCATGTTGACATATGAACGCAAACAGAAATACATATATTGACTTTACTAGATAAAAAATCAACAAAGCCCATAGTAATGTTTTTTGGGGGGGAGGAACCATTTTCCCACATATTGTACATAAGCAGCATGAAACTGTGAACACCTCCCCAAGTTCATTAGATACAAATATGTTAATAACTAAGCAGTATACTTTTATTTGCTGAATTGTTTCTATTCAGCTTTTAAAGAAGACTGCATTCTAAACAAAAATTATTTTTAGAGAGTACAGAAGTGTAAGCTTCCTTTTTGACAGGAATAAGAAAGTTGAATGGATGGCGAATATAGGCAAAACCAAGCCTTGAATGTCCTGATTGCTCTCACTGGTAAAAGGGTTCCCAGATGAAATCTGCTATCCTTGGTCACTAGGTTTATTCACTGAAGTTAAGATTTTCAGATGTACATAGTAGTGGATTGACTTCATTCCTTTTAAAGTCAAAACCTAAAACTTCCCAGGAAGTAGAAAAAACTCTAAAAACCTGAACCTCACATGTGCTTAGTAGCTAATTTCTAATAAACAAGATAGTAAAGTCCTTCCTTGGTGAGAAGCCACTGTATTTCAGATCACATTGATCCATATATGGGAGTATTAAGGCACTTAAGCGGATTTAAAAAATAATAGCAATTTAAAAAAATTGTACCTTTTTTTTTTTTTTTACTAATTCAGTGATACACAAGAACATAAATAGCTTTGAGGAGTCTGGATCATCAGAGCTTTTGAAAATCCCAAAGGGTCATTTCCTAAAGAGCAACTGACTGACAACTGAACAATGCTGTCTTCTTTTCTGAGCTTTTTTCAACTATCCAAATACAATTGCTTTATACTAATACATTCAGCGATAATTTTCTCCTGCGATTACATTCTTCAAAAACCCTGCTGCCTCTCATTTTCCTCCCGCCCTGGAATACACACTAGTGGTGCCCAGGGACTGCTTAGTGTCTACATTTTCATGCAATAGCCCACTCAAATGGAGACTGTTTAGTTAGCAGCACATAGATAGGAATGGCTGAATAATGTCTTACAGTACTAGGAACTAGTTATATCATGTTCCCAGCTGGCGTTTACTTTAGAGTAGAGTAGCAATAACTACCCTTAATGAACATCTCTTAAAAAAATAATGAAAAATGTTTGCAGGTGGATGGAACATGGAATGTATACTGGAAAAATATTGGAACAATTTAATAATGATGAACAGTTTGTTTTAGTTTAGGGCTTTTTTTCAAATACTATTGATTTTTTTATGAGAGGGAAAAACGTAGATCCTTTTTACGCTTATAATTGTTTCTTTCAGCTGAAATATAAAATAAGAATCCTTTAATAGCACTAATGGCTATTAAAGATATTAAGTTACTTTTTATAAATTAGCCTTGGTGTTTTGCGCAAATTCCAGCTTGGGTAATTTTATTTCATTTACCTAAGATTTACCTTCTAGTTATAGAGTCAAGAACATTCTCTTCTTCCACACTTTGCAAAATCTCTGTTTAGTGTCTCTGATGAATAACAGAGGTTATTTTTCCCTCCTGTATTTAACCATATAAATTACTCTTACTTCTTAGCCTTCTTTTATCTTCCAGATATTTACATTGTGTTACTAATTATAACATTGCATTTTAATGAGTGCTGGGTAATTGTTTTACACAGTTGCCCTCTTGAACCTATGATAAACCATGGTTGCTTGTGAGGACAAATACTTCTGACACATGAGGGGCCAGGAGCAGCTGAGCTATCATTCAGCTCAGGAGAAGGAAATTGGTTGGATGGTTGCATCCAGAAGGTAGTGGTCAACAGCTCAATGTCCACACGGAGACCGGTGACGAGTGGTGTCCCTCAGAGTTCTGTACTGGGACCAGTGCTGTTTAATATTTCCATCAATGACATAGACAGCGAGATCGAGTGTACCCTCAGCAAGTTTGCAGATGACACCAAGCTGAGTGGTGCAGTTGACATACCAGAAGGACGGGATGTCATCCAAAGAGACCTGGACAAGTTAGAGAGGTGGGCCTGTGTGAACCTCATGAGGTTCAACAAGGCCAAGTGCAAGGTCCTGCACCTGGGTCAGGGCAACTCACAGTATCAATACAGGCTGGGGGATGAAAGGATTGAGAGCAGCCCTGCGAAGAGGGACTTGGGGGGTACTGATGGAAGAAAAGCTGGACATGAGCCGGCAATGTGCGTTGGCAGCCTAGAAGGCCAAACATACCCTGAGCTGCATCAAGAGAAGCGTGGCCAGCAGGTCGAGGGAGGTCATTCTGCCCCTCTACTCTGCTCTGGTGAGACCCCAACTGCAGTGCTGTGACGAGCTCTGGAGCCCTCAGCACAAGAAGGACATGGACCTGTTAAAACAGGTCCAGAGGAGGCCACAAAAATGATCTGAGGGCTGGAGCACCTCTCCTACAAGGACAGGCTGAGAGACTTGGGGTTGTTCAGACTGGAGAAGCGAAGGCCTCGGGGAGGCCTGGTTGTGGCCTTTCAGTACTTAAAGGGGGCCTATAGGAAAGATGGGGACAATCTTTTTAGCAAGGCCTGCTGTGACAGGACAAGGGGTAATGGTTTTAAGCTAAAAGAGGGTAGATTTAGACTGGATATAAGGAAGAAATTCTTTACACTGAGGGTGGTGAAACACTGGAACAGGTTGCCCAGAGAGATGGTGGAGGTCCCATACCTAGAAACATTCAAAGTTAGGTTGGACGGGGCTCTGAGCAACCTGATCTAGTTGAAGATGTCCTGGCTCATTGCAGGGGGGTTGGGCTGGATGGACTCTAAAGTTCCCTTCCAATCCAAAGCATTCTATGATTCTATGAAGGAAAGAAGCAGTCCATGCATGTTCTTTTTGGCGTGAGGCATTTGTGGTCAATAGGCTCCTCTGGCCTTCATTCACTGCTTCATTCCTCTGCTACCGTCTTCAGAAATAAATTGGACCAAACCTCTCCACACAGTCATTGCTTGGCCAGTTCTGAAATATCAAGGGAACCTCTGCAATGAAGGACTGAAGTAAATATAACATTATAATCAATAACACAATATAACTGTGAGGTAACTATGAGGAGGCAAAGAAGAAAGGGTATTCATGTTCAGGATACAGAAATGTTAATTTTATTTTCACTCTGAGTTTTGTATAAGTAACTGAAGTAGAAATTAGTCATTGGCTTTGAATGTTGATTTTGTGCCATTTTCTATAATGTTAATACACCCATGGCTCTAATTGAAGCTTGATTCAAACCAAAATATCATGATCAGTCCACTGTTTATTAGGAGGAAAAATACATGGAGTGAAAATTATAGTGATAGGGAGTGGGCTCAAGAAAGTAGAGATGTTTTAAAGACATGAAATCTAAGCCAAGGGAAATAAGATAATCATATTTGTGCTGAACTGAGTGAAAAGAAAAAGGAATGCGAAAAGCTAGACGCTGTTGACTTTGTGCAGTTGCATACCGGGTATACCATGTAATACTGGCTTGTCATCATTCTCTTTCTTTATTGTATATTAAAGTAAATAATAAAGCCATTCCCTTGAGAGTAGCTCTGCCACAAATTCAAGTCGCTCCAGGCACTAATTTATACACTGGCCTTTTACACACACATTTTTTCCTTTCTGTTTGCACAGGGTACAAGTTGGAGCAAGATGTGGACGTCTTTCTTGTTTTTCCTGTTAAAAATTGCGTGTCCCCAGGGTAGCTCATCACCTGTGATCATTAGGGGGTTTGAAGATAAGGAAATGAGGCACACTCAAGACTAAACTTTTGTTTCTGCCTATTTTGAATAGCTTCATTTTTAAATGTAATGCAAAGATAATAAGAGTAGCTGGTAGGCAAGACCCTAGACTAGCATTATGGACAAAGTCCTGGAGAAGACAGTGTATCTGGTTATGTGTCATTTCCTAAAGACTTCTGAGATAAGAGAATCTGCAATCTTCTGACACTATTGTTGTCCCTTGGATTTGAAGTTGTAATAAATTACCAGGAACATACATGTTAAGGATAAAGTGGCTACACCTGGGCAGAGTTGTTACTGAAAGAAGAATCTAATTTGTTTTGCTCTTAATAGGTTCTCACAAAACATCTTTTTGCCTTTTTCATAAAGGAGCAGGAAGAACAATGAAAAAAATTAATTTGATTAAGATAAGTTAAATCAATTAGATAAATTCAATCATTTGGATTAGTTCAATCAGATTAACACAGTCCAGGTGCTCTATATTTACATATCGCATGCAATTATTACTAATTCAAAAATACTTAATTTATCGAAATCTCTCTGTTCTGGACAGGCGTTTAATTGTATTCACTGTTGGATAGATCTCTTCAGCTGAAACATCATCTTAAGGCCTAGACCTGTGAACGCTTGTGTATCTCCAGCTCACATGAAGGTACAATTGGGTGATAGACCTTCCTTGGCAGCAAAACTGATGTATTCCTGCTCTCACTTTGCTCTCAGCTCTGCTGGTGCAACTGTGAGTGAGGCCAGCCTTTTGGCCTGGGCGATCAAAATACCTCCAGAGTCACCTAGTTCTGAGGAGGAGAAACGCTTTGCAGATGAATGTCTTATAAAGGTATAAAGCGGCTCTTGTGATATTTGATTTGGAGAGGTGCATTGCTTACCGGGGGCTCATATCAGGGATTTCACCGAGAGGCTACCAAGCCTTGCACAGTCCACTGGCTACTATTCACTGTTGTTGTTCCACGTGGGCACCAGTGATACAGGCAGGAGCAGCCTAAGGAGTATCAAGAAGGATTACAGAACCCTGGGAGCGGCAGTAAGGGACTCTACAGAGCAGGTGGTTTTTTCATCAATCGTCCCGGTCAAAGGGAAGGGGTTTGAAAGGACCAGTCGAATCTGGCAAATCAACAAATGATTACAGGATTGGTACCACAGCCAAGGGCTCGGCTACTTAGACCATGGGACTCGCTTTGAGAAACCTGGTCTACTGGGGGCTGACAGGGTCCATCTGTCAGAGAAGGGGAAGAGCAGCTTCAGTCACAGGCTTGCCAAGGTGGTGAAGAGGGCTTTAAACTACAGTTGCTGGGGGAGGGGAACCTCAATCCATCCCACTCCTACCAGTTTGATGCCTAGAGCCTGCAGAAGGTTTGCAGGTCAGCAGGAGAGCACCTGAAGAGCAGCACAAAGGAATTCCAGCCACTCCAGCCAGTAAGTCAGCTTCACTGAGGGCCCAACTTAAATGCCTCCATGCAATGCATGTAGCATGAGGAATAAACAAGAGATGTGCACATGCCTGCAGGGCTGTGATCTTACTTGCATCACGGAGACATGGTGGGATGGTTCCTATGACTGGAGTGTTGGAATGGAAGGATATAGCCTCTTTAGGAAGGACAGGCAGCGGAAATGAAGAGGAGGTGTCGCCTTCTATGGCAATGACCAGCTGGAGTGCATGGAACTCCACCTGGGGATAGACAAATAGCCGACCTAGAGCTTATGGATCAGTATCAAAGGGAGGGCAGGCACAGGTGACATTATAGTGGGAGTCTGCTACAGGCCACCTGACCAAGAAGACTGAGTGAATGAGGCTCTCTGTAGACAGATAGGAGCAGCCTCATGTTCACAAGCCCTGGTCCTCATGGGTGATTTCAACCATCCCGGTATCTGTTGGAAGGACAACCCAGCAGGGCATAAGCAATCTAGGAGGTTCCTGGAATGTATTGATGATAACTTCCTTCTCCAAGTGATAGAGAAGCCAACGCAGAGAGGTGCTATGCTGGACCTTGTTCTCACCAACAAGGAGGGGCTGGTGGGGAATGTGAAGCTCAAAGATAGCCTTGACTGCAGTGACCATGAAATGGTGGGGTTCAAGATCCTTAGGGCACTGAGAAGGGCACAAGGTAAGCTCACTATGTTGGACTTCAGGAGAGCAGATTTTCACCTCTTCAGGGATCTGCTCGGTAGAGTACTATGGGATAAAGCCCTGGAGGGAAGAGGGGTCCAGGAAAGCTGGTTAGTATTCAGGGATCATCTCCTCCAAGCTCAGGAGCAATGCACCCCAACAAAGACGAAGTCAGACAAAAATGCCAGGAAGCCTGCATGGATCAAGAAGAAGCTCCTGGACAAACTCAAACACAAAACGGAAGTCCAACAAGGCCAAGTGCAAGGTCCTGCACATGGGTTGGGGCGATCCCAAGCACAAATACAGGCTGGGCAGAGAATGGATTGAGAGCAGCCCTGAGGAGAAGGACTTGGGGGTATTGGTTGGTAAGAAGCTCAAGCAGCCCAGAGAGCCAACTGTATCCTGGGCTGCATCAAAATAAGTGAGGTCAGCAGGTTGAGGGAGGTGATTCTGCCCCTCTACCCCACTCTGTGAGACCCCACCTGGAGTACTGCATCCAGCTCTGGGCCCCCCAACATAAGAAGTACATGGACTTGTTGGAGGGAGTCCAGAGGATGGCCACAAAGATGATCCGAGGGCTGGAGTACCTCCGCTATGAAGAAAAGCTGAGAGTGTTGGGGTTGCTCAGCTTGGAGAAGAGAAGGTTCAGGGGAGACCTTATAGCAGCCTTCCAGTACCTAAAGGGAGCCTGAAACAAAGCTGGGGAGAGAATTTTTACAAACGCATGTAGTAATAGGATGAGGGGTAATGGCTTTAAACTGAAGGAGGGTAGATTTAGATTAGATATAGGGAAGAAATTCTTCACAATGAGGGTGGTTAGGTACTGGAACAGGTTGTCTGGAGAGGATGTGGATGCTCCATCCCTGGAATTGTTCAAGGCCAGGTTAGATGAGGCTTTCAGCAACCTTATCTAGTAGAAAGTGTCCCGGCCCATGTCAGGGTGGTTGGCACTAGGTGATCTTTAAGGTTACTTCTAACCCAAACCATTCTATGATTCTACAATTCCATGACCATTATGTTCCTTATTTAATGTATATTCAACTCCAAAATGTACTAAAAACGAAGCCAGAATTACTTTAGTCTGGCAATAAATTTCATAAAGCCCTCTCATAGGTGCTGCAAGAGGAAAAAAAGCAGAAAACTGGCAATTATTTGCAATAAATGCATGTCCTGTTGAACTTGTATGGTGGCACCTACCTACTAAAAGAGAAGCTGTCAGCAGTTTAGGATCATAAGGGCTTTTCCCTCGGCCATTTTCAAAATGTGAATCTTCCATTCTAAAAATGTTGTCCTGTGGGATGGAAAAAAAAAAAAAAAGAAAGAAAAAGCAACATTATTTGATGAAAGAACACTAAAAAAAAGTCAAGCTAAACAAAGTACGGTATACGTGATTCATACTGGGTTTTGTGGCTTCAGGGAAGTCAAATTACACTAGGTGAGGATCTGGTAAAAGTGCCCACCTTCTACTTAGTATTGTGCTGAAAGCTAGTCAAAAGCACAAATACATGTGCACAGCTTGTGTCTCATCTATTCTACTTCAGATATAATTTGCATAGCTTTACTGAATTGTTTCTGTTTTCACTGAGAACATGTCTGCGTAACAGTAACTGAAGAAGCTGGAATTTGAAACTTTTGTCTGAAAAAAGACAAAACCTATTTTTCACTGACTATACTTTTCTGAAATATCCTGCAAGTATAGATTAGTGCATAATACAATGCTAAATTCTGCTTTTCCTGAGTATTTAGTGACTTACTGTTTCATGCATCCTCAAATTAAATTTTAACTGCATCAGGACAACTTTTACTTTTCAGTACTATGCAACAAAACTTTTAAAATATACAGGCTGAGGGCAAAATATTACGGGGATATAAACCAAGATTAAAAAGGGCCTCAGTCAACACTAACTGAAATCAAGGTCAGTAAACCCAAAGCAGTGGGCTTTTCAGTACTTTTAATTACTTTAATTTTAACTGGGGGACCAAGTCTGCCTATCAATTTGTATACTGTGTTTATCTTACATTTTGCACTGAGGGTAAAACCAGAATAGATTCTTTTTGCACAGTAGACTTCTATATTGACAGAAGACTTGTGGAGGCCACATGGAAAACTGAAATTTCCATTTCTCACCTGGACTGTGGTTAATTTGCATTGACACCTAATGAAGTGAAGAAGCCCCAAAGGTGGGACAACCCCTACCCCCAACAGTTTCTCTAGTTACTTAGGCTTTTGCACCCAGTTCTCAGTTGCTTATACCTAGAAATGCTCTGTGAGGTAGATGCCTCCTTTAACCAATATTTGCAGGTAAAGGACTTCCTTTAGTCAGTAATTGCAGGAGTCAGTAGCTTAGTCTGTAATAGAACCTACAGCTTGATACAGTCTTTTTTTTTTCTTACCACTAATCAGAGATCAGTCGTCTGTTTTATGAAAATAAACAAAAAATAAATATCACAATCTATGTCTAAAATATATGTGTTGATAGTAGAAAACAACTGAGAAGATGTTACAATATTTCCCCCTGTTTATTTCATAACAGATTAGCTCTTTACCTTGATTCTCAAGCCCTTATTGCTTCCACGGACTATCTCAAGCCCCCCTTTCTTATTCTCATCATCCCTTTCCAAACACAGATTCATAGACCTGCTGGACAGAAAGGCTGTCTAGATCATTAAGTCCAAGAGGACTTGAAAGAAGACTATTGTCAGCACAGGGTATGGTCACTTTTGGTTTGTCTTGCCAGGAATGGAAATTTTATAACCTTTCTGGGCAACTTTTTTCCTAAACTGAACCTTCTAAGGAATGACTTCTGACTTTTTCTGCTTATTATATAGAATGATTTGGTTGGAAAAGACCTTTAAGATCATTGAGTCTAACCAAACCTGTCCACTACTAAACCATGTCCCTAAGCACCTCCTCTACCCGTCTTTTAAATACCTCCAGGGACGGGGACTCAACCACTCCCTTTTCCAGTGCCTGATAACCCCTCCAGTGAAGAAATTTGTCCTAATATCTAACCTAAATCTCCCTTGGTGCAACTTGAGGCCATTTCCTCTCATCCTAACACTTGTTACTTGGGAGAAGAGACCAACACCCACCTCGCTACAACCTCCTTTCAGGCAGTTGTAGAGGACGACAAGGTCTCCCCTCAGCCTCCTTTTATCCAGGCTAAACACCACCAGTTCCCTCAGCCACTCCTCAACAGGACTTTTGCTCCAGACCCCTTACCAGCTTCGCTGCTGTTCTCTGAACATACACCAGCCCCTCAAAGTCCTCCTTGTAGTGAGGCACCCAAAACTGAACACAGTATTCAGAGGTGTGGCCTCATCAATGCCAAGGGATGGCTTCCCCAGTCCTGCTGGCCACACTATTTCTGATACAAGCCAGGATGTCTTTGGCCTTGTTGGCTACTTGGGCACACTGCTGGCTCATATTCAGTTGTCTGTTGACAAACACCCCCAGATCCCTCTCTGCCAAGCAGCTTTCCAGCCACTTACCCCCAAGCCTGTCGCATTGCATGGAGTTGTTGTGACCCAAGTGCAGGAACTGGCACTTGGCTTTGTTGAACCTCATAGAATTGGCCACAGCCCATCTAGCCAGCCTGTCCAGGTTCCTCTGTAAAGGCTTCCTCTCCTCAAGCAGATCAACACTTCCACCCAGCTTAGTGTCATCTACAAGCTTCCTGCAGGTACACTCAATCCCCTCATTCAGGTTGTTGATAAAGATGTTAAACAGAACTGGCCCCACAGCTGAGCCCTGGGGAACACCACTTGTGACCGGCCTCCAACTGGATTTAACTCCATTCACCACCGCCCTTTGAGCCCAGCCATCCAGCCAGTTTTTCACGCAGCAAAGAGTATTCCTGTGCAGGCCATGGGCAGCCAGTTTCTCAAGCAGAATGTTGTGGGAAACGGTGTCAAAGGCTTTATTAAAGTCCAGGTACACCACATCCACAGCCTTTCTCTCATCCACTAAGTGGGTCACCTTGTCATCTGCAATGATGGCAAAGATGCAAATAGATGGCAAAAGCATCCCCTGTAACTACCTTTCAAGCAGTTATGGGCTGTTCCTAAGCTGCCCATTCAGCTTCACTTCTCCAGACTAAGTCTCAGGCAAGGGCTTCATGAAAGCTTAACTAGCGTGTAAACTCCAGAGAGTTAGATTTTCTTGTGCTCGCAATTAAAAGTATCAAAATTGTGCACAATACTTTCACCCTCAAGGGCAACACTCCAGTTCTCAGTGCTGGAGACTTGGCACTCCACAATGCTGTGGAGGATGCAAAAAAAAAATCAACAACTCAAATCTTATTCAGCAATGTTTTTTTTAATGTGAAGATCATCAGGCAAATAGCTGATGTCTTCCTCACAAGCAGTGAATTAAAGTATTTGGAAGCAGCGCTCTCCCTAGCACCCTGTCTTCCCCACCTTGCTCGTCCATACTGAATCCAGGCATGCGCCAGGCCAGTGACCAAACATACTTCCAAATGGTATTATTTTAAACCTTTTGAGTCCATGTTTCTGTAAGTGAGTCACAGGCTATAGTTTTTATTACAGGCTTGTTTAATTACAGCACGCAAGCATATATCTGTGTCTGTGTATTACATATTTTCAAAGGAACATCAGAAGGACTTCACATTTCACTCCATTTACTGGAGAAAAAGGTGAAGGGTAAATGGACTGTTAGCAGAATGGTCTATCTGGAGGGGCTTACTGCACTGTAAGATAAAAAATTTGGACACAATTTTGTGAAGTCTGATCCCAGAATTCAAGCTCAATCTCCTAAGGCATGTTCTTGTAGATGTAGCCTGCCTGATTATGTTTATACAGTCATCCTGTATCTGTAATATCTTGCACAGTATTAAATTTCTTTTTTTTTTTTCCTTTGTCTTTCTATTTCTTAATAGGTCAGATACATTCCTTGCTTCTATCCAATTTTCTGACTTTGCTTCTTCTAACCAGAAATGAACAAATAATGAAAAAGAAAACTGTTTTTGAAATTCCGCTGTAGGGTCCATATCTAGATCTTGCACAATAAATAAAAGCGGTAAACTGAGGAGAGTGCTGGACCTCAACTACAATAATAGAAAATGGCACTAATGCTACAAGCCATTATTGAAAAATGTTATTATCAATCTACATTTTCTTGGGATTTCTTCTTAGTAGATGATGATTGCTCAACCTGCACACCAATGGATATTTGATAAGGCTATAAAGTCAGAGGTATGACAGTTAAAGCAGAATATATTCCCAAGATAATCCCATGTGTCATTATAAGACAAATAGGAAACAGATGTGGAAAGTGGTTTGGTGTAGGAAGGATCTGATTTTTTACTGTATTCTTCTGGTTTATGTCACTGTAACTCTACTGATACTGGTGTGTAGCAGACAAGAGTGGAGAACTGGGTCAGCACAAGTCAGAGATGATCTACCCTTCTCTTTGTGTTTGTGGAATAAAACATTGGAAATAAGAGACATGACAGGGAAATCCCACGGTGTTTTCGTATTTCAGTTAAAATGCAACATAGAGACATGTACTATAAGTTTCTAAATGTATGGGCAAGTAATAATGACAATAAATACATCACTGTTAAGTTCCAAATAAATGTATCATGATTAGTCTGAGGCCCCAAGGAATTTTGATAAACATTCTATAGGCAGTTTAACCTGTCACAAATAGGGCAACTTGCCCAAATACCTTTTTGGGTGCTGAAGTCAAACTACCCATATCTACAAACCCACAATAAAAACAGGCCACAAAGGAATAAACTCTTTTCTGTGTACTCCCCAGCCCCATTTTAGAAGCCTAGAAAGCAGTATGACTAATAACAGGTACTTGATCGTACTAGTCACTGGTCTGTGGCATTTGCACCCAAATTCTGTCCTGAGATGCCATAACAGCAAGAGATGAGATGAGAAGTCAATGTCAATACTTGAGAGTAAAATTTCATCTCTTCATGTTTTATAAACATGCGCTTGATTGTTTTCTTGAGAGTTAGCCTCTGCATTAAACTGGAAACTAAGGCTCTGCTCCTGGTGTTAGAAGTCCTGTCCACCTAAATTACCCTGAAAACCTATGTGGAGGCAGCAGAGGGAGCGAGGGCAGCTCTTGGGTAAGGACTCAGGGCCAAAATCAGTCTTCCTGGAGCTAGCAAAGATCAAGGCTCTGCTCAGAGGCTTGGACTGCATGAGTGTGGCCTTCTCTTGCCCAGCACAGCCAAGAGCTTTTAGCTGGAAAGAATGCACATTGTTTGCTCTCAGAAAAAAATCTGATCAGTTTATAAATTTGCTCCTTCTTGG